TTGGATTTCTCCTGGAGGCTTTGGGAGCAGCCGAGGAGGCCCTTACCTTTGCCACGCGCTGCGTGGACTTCGCTGCCAAGGCACTTGCGCGGATCGCCGGCGGGCCCGTCGGCAAGCCTCATGGGAACGCACTACTAAGACCAGGACTAGCAGTCGTATAGATCACCTCACCCAACCAAAACCTAACTTGTTTGCTGGGTTCTTATTGAGGGACCCTAGAGGCAGGTTTTGGTAGTTCAAGGTAGGGGATAATCGTAGGTCCCGTGTCTCTGAAAGTCCTATGCGGTGTTGTTATGCAGGACCGAGCCAATATGTCAGGAGGTCTTTTGGTTCGGTTCGTGAACACTTTCCATTTGGTGTAGAAGGCATGTTTCGGTGTTGGTTCACGGGCATCGTTTTAGGGGGTTTTGTGAGGCACCTGGTGTGCATGAGACTGTTCATGTTTAGTTTGATCTATGCGAGTTGCGGGGTGGAGGAGAGTCCGAGATCCCGTCCTCGCAATATGAGAAGAAAACCTCTTGCAGAAACCCCGTATGTCTTTGAGGGTGCTGTTCCGGACAGATCCCCATGCTGCTTAGAGCTTCCACTGTGCCAGGTTTCTACTTTCGGGTTTGGGTTTGCGTACCTGAAGATTCTTGCTTCCAGACCCTGATCTCTGAGCTTCCGATCTGGAATTGAAGGGCCACAGAAGGAGCTGCTCCGATTGAGGTAGTTGCGCTCTCTTTTCCGGATTCGGAACGAAGGTGTTGCATGTCTAGGGCTAGGGTGTCGGATTCGGATCTGTGGCAAAACAAAGTCATGGGACAGGTGTATCCTGGCTTCAGCGCTCTTCACGCGTGGTCCCTTGAGACACAGGCCTGCTGTCGATACGGGCTCAGGAGCGTATGCATACTGGTGGGCCCCGGAGGTGGGGCTTGGTGCTGAAACGACTACAGCGAAGTACGGTTGAAACCCAGCAGTCCTAAACTCTGCAAGCCCCAAAGCCCTGCTATACCTTAAACGCCCCAAATATGTTTCCTATTATTCTGATGTTCAGGATGTTCAGGGTTTTTTGCTGTAACTGAGTGATTATTAACACTATTGTCACTATTATCGTTACTGTTATTCAGCCCTACAGCCTGGTAGCAGAAGACTCTTAGGAGCCCGCATGTGGGTTTCGGGACATGTTTGGGAACTCCTCAGCGGCAAGATTTGAGAACTCGACATGAACCTACCAAACACTACTTTTTCTGGCTACGAAGAGCAGATTATGGTCCAATGCCCTGAATGCCAGGATCCTTATGTGCAGATCCTTCGGCACCCACGAGTTCAAGAAGCTCCCGTCTAGAGCAAAGTAGCAACGATAGTAGTGTTACCACAAACTTCGTTGTGTTTTGGATCGACATGATACTGGCAATGTAGCTCCTAGGTTTCAGCTCCATGTCGTGGATCATCGCGAGTCTTGTGTTACACCATGTTCAAGTCCTCTGGGTGCACTTGAAGGATCATTTGGCTTCGTATAAACGGCTAGAAGAAGATGTGATAAGTACCGTAGGTGAAGTTAGGTGTAGATACTATGAGGGCTTGCGGGTCTTGGGATCCGGGGTCCAATCACGGGGCGTGGGGACCGAAGTGATATCAACCTTGCGCCTTGTCCAAACTTTACTAGGCCCTACTACCTCTACACTGAACCCTAAACCCTAAAAGCCCTATAAGAGCCTTAAGTAAACCCAAAACTGGCCCGAGCACCCGGAGCGCGCCACCAGGGTGACCTTATTCTCCGCGTGGCCGGCTTCGGTGTTGGCCCAGACCACGTAGAAGCGCCAGGCGGATTTGCCCGTTCAGGGTTTCGGGTATTTTTTTGGTTTGAGGTTTTGCATTTCGGGTCTTTTGGGTTTAGGGTTGAGGGCTTAGGGTATTTTGGGTGACTTCGCGTGTTCTACAGATTCTACAGGTTCAGGCCATATGAAGGAAGTATAGGCTCGACGGGATCAGGTCGGTTTTAATGTTTGCTTTCGCCTTCGGATACTCGCACTGTCATCGGAGTGTGAGATTCCTTTTCCCTGTTCCTGAAAGCGCGGAATATTTTGGTCGGTAGAACATTCAAAAGCCAGGCTAGACTGTGGAAGTCCAATCGGCATGGAATGATACAGAGCAGCCCAGCACGGGTCCTGTGCAACGTAGCAGGATGACCGGCTTCAAACAAGAACTTAAGGCTATGATGCTGGAATAGGGGGCTGACACAGCCGCAGACAGCGTTCCCAGCACACTCGGTCTGTCGCGGGATTCGCGATAGATCCCTGCGCTCGTTCACTGCGAATTGTAATATTCCCCTAAACCCGATAAACCCCAAACGCGACTTGGAGGGACGTGGTTCGTGCAGGACGGGCGGGACCCGACTCCGGAAACCTTGAGAAGCCGCTCCCCCTGTCTGTCGCTGCCAAAACCAGACATCATCCCGAGACAAAGACAATCTACTATAGTATACTACACTATACCATAATTTACCACAGTATACTATCATATGCCAAAATCTACTATAGTATACTATAATAGACTATATAATATTCTATAATATACCATGCTGACTCTTGAAGCGATGGGTCTGTGCCGTCTGTGCTGTGACGCTTAGCCCCAGAGCCCCCAGAGGACATGACTTTATAGTATACTATAACATATTATGGTATATTGTTGTATATTATTGTATGTTCTGGTATATTGCCATATATTATGCAGTCTATTATAGTATACTAGAGTATGTTTTGGTAAATTAGAGTATTGTGTGGTACATTACGATATATTGTATTATGATATTGTGGATTACCCAGTTATTTCCAGGAGGCCAGGCCCAGTTCTAGGGATTTCCAGCCGTTGCCAGGCTCCGTGGATGCCTCTGTGTGCCGCGAGGCATGGGCTCCTGTGGAGGGAAAGGGACCCGGCGAGAGAGCACGAGGGGACGTTGGAACAAGCGACTTGTCCAGTCGTTGTTGGAGACAACATCTCCCTCTACACCGTGACCCTTCATTTACCTTTCTAGTAACTAGACCTTATATGCCCATTCTGTCCGGAGGTGACCGGGGTTTACAGCGAGGCTGCAGAAGCCTTGCGGGCACTGTTCGGCGCCGACCACGAGTTCTATGTTGCCCCGGCCGCCAGGAAGGGCTTTAGGGCTCCAGGAAGAGCTGTAGGGTTTCGGAGAAGCCGTTTCTCAATCCCACGCAGGCTACCGAGTGAGTGTAGCCGACTTCCACACGCTGTCGGGCTTTCGAAGTCCAGCAGTACGTGGCCCTGCAGCCCTAAATCCCACAGTCGGTTCGACGGGTGATGATGCCGAACTCTGGAATTTCAATGATTTCATGCTGCGACCTGTCGTGCATGGTCTCAGAAGAAGCGATGAAACTTCGAACCTTCCAGGCTTCGAAAAGCAGAGACAAAGAGCCTCCATGACCCTCCATCTACCCTCAAAACAGGCCCTAATATAAATATAAAAAAATATATATGTTATAATTTTATACTATATCATATTATATGATAATATATATATATATATGCATACATGCACATATCTATAGATGCACATACATAGATTTATTTACATATTTCTATACATTTGCGACCATTTAGCTCCTTTTTGCGGCTGGTCCTGGAGGTCGGAATCGGCCAAAGCCCGAGCCCTTACATGGAGCCTTCTTGTAACACACAGTGTTTAGGGTTTAGGGTTGAAGGATGGCAGCCTGCATGGGCCCATGCAACGAAACCCTAGCTGAGCATTGAACTGACAACGCAGCTCAAACGAACATGAAGCATGCTAGAGCACAACAGCCCGATTGGGAACCAAGGTTGCCATCCGTGACAAGCGCGATGCCCTGCGTGAGCTCTGCACCGCCAATGTGCGGCAGAGCCCGAAAGACGCACCTCGGACTGTCAGACAATAGCGGGTTTCTTTTTTTTTTTTGGAAGTACACGTGAAGATGAACCCCTCGAATCTAAGAGACCCTCAACAGCGACCCCTTAGCCGAAGTGAGGGTTCCCTTCGGGTCTTGCGGGAGAGGGGCGTAGCTTCTGCAATTTCAGGAGCCGTGCATTTTGCTACAGCGTCTCTATCTTGGAAAGCTCCTAGTTTCCTAAATCCCCAATAAATCCTGCACCCCACAATCCGAATGCCAGGAAACAAATGCTCTCTGGCTGAGGTGACCAACCGTGCGAAGCCGGAAGAGACCTGGTGAAATGCACCAGCTGAAAAGAACTTTGGTGTTCAGCGGGTGCTTTTGAGGGGTTCGGAGCCTTTGCAAACGAAAAGCTTAAGCCATGACTATACTGGACAGGACCGAGAAAAGAAAGCGTCTTGGTCTCAATGGCTTATGGAATATTGAACGAGACCGCCACTTTTGGTTTTCAGTTGCTTAATAGGTTGATGTTTTCAGGTCGAACAAGAAGCAAGAATAATCCGCCGACCCTCACCGCACAGCATCCCCCCAGGGCTCGCATCCTGCTAAGGATTTTGCACTGTTTGGTACCCTTATGCCCGTGTTGCTTTGGGGGTTCCTGAACAAGTCGGACTGCGCAGACTGGGAAAACGGGTAACCCCCAGTATTCAGGATTTACACAACAGGACCTCGGCTAAACTGAAGATCCCGATATCGGTAAGCAAAATCTCAGTGTTCTCCTCCAAGGGCCAAGTTCAAAAGCCTCTTGGACCGGACCTTCGACTCTCGACCGTAGACTCTCAATGCATTCGTTGGACTTGCCGCAGCCGCCAGGCCTTCAAACATCGGTCGGAGAGTTGTGTCGAGCATTTTCGAGTGTGGTCCTATACAAACCGTCTGGCGAGAATGAGGGGCAGAAAAATTCGCACGCTGGCATCTCCCGACCATGTTACTTCCAAGATATCGATATCCCTACGATCTTTGGCCCTTGAGGGACTAGAGCCATAACCTGCTGAAAATCCCACAACAGGGCACACTTTCGGGGGTCTAGAGCGCTTGAAACGGAGCCTGGTGGCCGTTGGGTCACCAGATGCCATGGACGACCATGAGGCCGGGACGGAAAGACATTGGGGAACTTTTGAAGTGGACAGGGTTTAGGGTTTAGGGTTTAAGGGGGTTTAGAGTTAAGGAATTTGGGGTATTTGAAGCGTTATTAGTTATGGGCTTCTGTTCTGGATTCGGGCTTTGTAATTAAGGGTTCTGCAGGACATGGCTTGAAAAAGGAACTTCACTGTCCAGTCTTTCGGTCTCACAACCACCCCACGATCACCGCACTACCGCCCCCACACGAATTTGCCAAGGAGCCCCTAAGCAGAGTCCTGACTCAGGACAACTTCCCGTGGACTCATGAGCATTGTGATTTCCGGAGTTATACCTAAATCCCTACACCTTAAACTCTCAATCTTCCAGCAAGCCCAGCGTCTGAAAGTTAGAAGCGCTGACAAACCGCCAGACCAGGAGTTCGTGGTATTCTAACCCTAAGCCCAATCCTAAACTCGAGCTACGAAGCAAGCAGAGCGCAAACCCATGTGCTAAAGACTGAAAACGCCACACCCCAAACACAACCCAAGAAACACATTGTTGGGAGAAGCCGCATTTATGCCCTTTAACATCCCCAGTAGCTGGCGGATCTTCCGGTTTCTGCAAGGGTGACCTCTGCACAGCCCTAAAAACCTAGGACCGAAGCTGATGAAACCCCTCAGACTCTCTAGATGCACGAAGCCCAAAACTCGAGCCCAGACCTTCAGGCCCTGAACTTCAAGCCCAAACCTGCAGATCCTAAACAGTCCCTGCAGCCTTAATGTAGGGGCCTAAATAATTACCAACACTATTTTGGGGTTCCGTATGATGATTATAATCATAGCCCGAAACCCTCTTCTAATTGTTGATTACGGCGCCTTGTTTTTATGTCTAAGTCTGCCTAGACCCAGCAAATCCTTCGTGAGATCACACTGGATGGCGTCATGGAGCAGATCAGAAGCCTCGTCGACAGGATCGTGTCCCCATTGGGTCCTTTGCAGAGGATCTGGGTTCCAGGAGGAGAAAGGCTTACATGTGTTTGATATAGGGGCCTAAATAGGTAATACTATTTTGGGGGGTTTCTTATTATATGTAGAATCTTATATCCCCAAAACCCTAATTACTTGGGAGCAGGCTTCGGATTGAGGGTTTGGGGACTAGGTTTCTGGCTGGGTTCACCCCAAGACTGGCTGCGCGCTTGCTGTCCAAATCGGTCATCACTGTGTTTGGAGGGTTTTATGATGTTGCAATGGAGCCGTCGATGTATTTCCTTGCTCTTATATGAACAAAGATCCGCAGAGCTATTGCTCGCGATTAGAACCGAGGAGACATGGGCTCCATCTGCCAGAAGCGTGTCATTCGTCTCCAATCCTCTTGCATCCCGCTACGGTCTTTGATGAGTGTTGCACCGCTCGCCGTTTCCACGAGCCTTGCGTTGTCCTGAACTGTGCACCCGAAACCCTTGACTCTACCTCAAACTCCCACAGCCCTAAATCCCCTAAAAACTGAAGCTCCAAGACCTTTAAACCTCCAAAGGAACCCCTTAAACACCGCTGTGAACACACCGTTGTTGAATGGGTCCAGGCTGCTATTGGAGCAAGAGAGAGCGACGCTCAGATCATTGCGTTTGGAGGACAGTGCCAAAATGCGACTACTGCTATTGACGCTAATGATTCTGATGGTAACTGTAAACACTTCGCGTCGTCCGCCTCGGTGCGGCCGCGAATGAAGAGGTGTTTCCTTCAGGCGTCATTGGCGGAGCGGAGCCAGGATAAGGGGGGTGGGTCATTGGGGAGGAGAGTAAGAGGTAGGGAAACAGGAGGTTCCTGTAAGGAAACTCTGACCGCTTCGGCCGAGCCAAGGCGAATATTGCTAATGGTCTCAAAAAAGCGGAGATTACCAGTCTCGTAATACTAATGACATTGGAAAGAACAGCATGCATAGTAGCAATGCGACTACAATAAATTAGTGACATCCAGATAAGACTTACAGCAGTGCCGACAATATCAATCATATTCTTTGACATGATCCCTAAACCCTAACCTGATGACGTTGTGAGTCTTTAGACCGGCTCTTGGAGGTGTTTGCTATGGTACGAACTCTCACAAGCTGTTGTACGTCACGTGCCAGAACAATCCTCAGGTATAACTTCGGGTTCCGTTATTAGTACCATTGTTCTGAATATTATTATCGCGATTACGACGTTCTATCAATATTCTTATTATTGTTATTATTGTTGCTATTTTTGTTGTCATTATTATTACTATTGTTAGTGGTATTGTTATTAGAACTACAGTAAAGCCTACCCGCAAACCCCTACCATCCCTACCCTATTCTAGAACAATAAGGCCTGTAAGGCCCCCTATAGTACAACAGCCCTTGCTGAATGCTTTGGATCCAGAGGCCGGAACGGTGGCCCAAATAATTGGAGTAGGATACTGCAATATGTCAAGAATCCCGGAGAATAACATTGGTAATTATCCTGGTTCCCATGGCGGAATGCTGCGTTGAAAGCAACACATATGAAATGTATGACGATACATGGTGTCTCCGTATTAGTTTGCATGAAAGAGTCGCATGCTGCACAGCGTCAGATTAGTGTATCTGGTCTTCCACAGTCCACGCTGAAGCAGCCGCTTCGCTACGAAGCGACATACGGTGAGCAGAGCTGTTTGAATCGCCACTGCTGGCTGGGTTGTTTCGAGTCAGCTGCCTAAACCGCTCTATTATGTGTTTATATGCTCGAAGAAGTGCGCATTGGTTTAGCATTCATACATACAAGAATATATATATATATATATATTCTTTAATTATATATACGTGTGAACAGACGATGTGTGTGTGTGTGTATATATATACACACATACACATACATCTGCACATATACACGTGTGTGCACAGTGCAGTCGTGTGTCGTGCGTTCTTCAGCTGCACGACAACACGACTCTGAGTAGCTTAAACCCAAGGTCGGTGCACATGCATATAATATACGCACGAATCCAAAGAAGTTCGGTAGACCTGCCAACTGCCAACAGACAGAAGGGCTGAAGCAGATCTACCGCCAGGGAAGCTGGGTGCATGAATGTTGTAGATATACTGCCTCCTGTTCCTGAAATCCGATGTGCGAAGCAAAGACTCAGCCCTATGAGCTTTGTAAAAGCGATAAGCCTCAGAAGTCAGGAGCCCCTGAGACCTCCATCGCGGGACACGTCCAAGGACAGGAGGCTGATGTGGGAACTCCAGGGGAGTTTGGGAGGTTTAGGTGTGTGGATGTTGGGACGTTGGGATGCAATATAGAAGCCTTAATCATTACCAGCACTATTCCCTGATTAGAACTATATTATAGAGGAGCCCGGAACCTCATTCTAATTGCTAAGGCCCCTACATTGTGCTTTGGGACTTTCCAGACTTAGGATGTGGGGCGTAGACTTGATCTTTTGGGAGCAGCCTTGGGGTTTGGCAGATAGCAACTATCCTCGCTTTAGGGACGTACCCATAACCGGAAGACTCTTAGAGAATGCCAAACCCGACTATGGGTCGTGCCTGCACTTCCGCCGTCCCCAGAATGCTGCCACTTTGTGCAGTTCTTGATGAAGTAATGGCTACAAAAAAGACGGTCAGCAAACAACAACTTCGCATGGTGACCCTTGTAGCCCTTCCGTGAAGCGGTACACTACTGAGAAAGGTCAACGCCATCTTCACCTGTGGCGTTATCTCCGCCGTCGCCTCCTGCATTGCCACCAAATTTCGTCATGCGCCTGGGCCTGCACAGCCTGCACACTTCACCATATACGACTTAGAAAGTTGGGTCGAGGCAGGGCTGTACTGGAGCGTAGGAGGACCGTTCCATCAGTCTCCAGCCGCCAGCCATGGATTCAGTTCAGACGCACCTAGAGTGGGTGTCGATATCTTGCGGGGCTTGTGAATGGGAGGGAGCAACGGAGCAGGCCGGACGCTTCTCTTGGCGAGTGCGGCAACAGAAAATGCGAAGCCGATAGACTACTGTCCTCCGAAGAAGACTACATAAGGGTTGGCAGGTTTGCCGATGTTTGCAACTCAATGCAGATTTGAGGGTGCAGAATTAACGACCATCAATAGCTCATCAAGACTAGGTCCTAGGTTTCATTTGGAGCTCAAGAGCCACTTACGCAGGTGGAAATGATTTCAGCTCGCACACTTGGCACTAACCTCGAAGCCACGATTGCCAAGCATAGGCTGAATGCCAGAATCCCTAAAAGCCACGATGCAAGGTTGCAAGTTGATATGATTGCCGAAGTTTCTGATTGCAAGCTGTTCTGGTGCACGGCTGACGATGCCGCTGTGTGGAGGCTTTGTTCTTTGGACTCCCAAGCCCTCGTGTGAAAGTGTGAGAAGCTCGTAAGTACGTAAATGCGAGGATCTGCCTTGCACAAAGGGGACCCAAGTTTCACACATGATGAGCGCCCTCGTGCCCTAGTATCGAGGTTTGATCCCATTCTAGCTTCTAATGCGTGCTGATATTTCAGAAATAGCCACAACCAAGTAGAAGCTCTGTCCCCTTTTCGTCTCTATATATACTTATACTTCAAGACATGCCCAAACCAATTTTCAAACGCTGTCCTGTGGAGTCTTCAAAGATTCAAGATACGATCTACACCCAGAATCCCTAACTCGAAGTCTTAAGGGTTTATGGGGGTTTAAGGTCCCTCTAATTCTTAAGGCCCCTCTTTTGCCTGACAGCAACAAGCAGCAGGCTCCCTCTCGACGAGCAGGATGTACCCGAGCCTGCCCTTCCGGAGCTGCCTCCATGTGCTTAAGGGTTTAGGGTACACTGAAAAATTCCAAGGTGGGCTACGGGCTTCACTAGTGGCGTTTAGGGTGTAGGGGTTAGACGGGTTTTGCTGTTTGAGGGTCTGCTTGATGAGGAAGGTGTTAGCAGCGGAGGGACCGGAAGGCGTTGAACCCTAAGTCCTAAAGTAGGGATAGCAAGTCCAGGAGGTTTAAAGTTTAAAGCACTTGGAGTTCATGGGTGTGAGGCGCGTCTCTATTAAGGCCTCGGGTCTAGGGGTTCGTGATTTATGGGAGCCTCGGGTTTAGCTGTTTCAGAGAGACTTTTGGAGGTTCTTGAAAGGTACCCTTGAGCCCTTCTTGTTTGGGGTTCTTTGTTTAAGCCAAACAGTAGGAAAAAGGGGACCCTTATGGTTGAGGGGTGACTGGGGAAACTAGTAAACGTGTACTTCTCAGATAGAACAAGGCTTTGCGGCTGGAATTCGATACTTTCCTCTTCGTTCTGGCCTGGGTTCCAAAGGATTTCGAAACTGCAGAGAAACTGTGAACAAAAGCAGTTGGTCGTGAACAGAGTAATTGTGATATATTTTGATATAGTATGATACAGCATGATATATCATGGTACATCATGATAAGAACTTCTGTATGTACATTAACAAATCTGACCATTATGATCCCCACGATGCGATAACGACTACCGAAGGAGAAGGTGCCCCTCACCGGTCCACCCTTAGTGTTCATGGAGGGCTTGCATCACCTGACGTTTGTCTTTCAGGATTTGGTAAAGGCATGTGCCCAGAATATCTAGCGCAAGCCGCACATGTATTTGTCTATATGTTCAGGTCCTACAGCACTCGAGGTCACTCGAACCCTTAAAACCGAAATCCACATCAAATCCATTTACGGCAAATCTTGCAACACATTTCAGGTGCCACGCTTGCGGAATGCCAACACGCGGCTAATCAAACGCCCTCAACACGAAACCCTAGATACAGGCCTACTGCTTCGACCAAGTATTGCCCTTCTATTACTTTGCCTGAACTCTCCTTACAGCTGAGACTCTGAAACCTAGAGCTCCACCAGACCCGCAACCCAAATACCCGAAAGCCTTAAACATCCTTGTCTCGGGCCCTAAACCCTAAACCTTAAACCCTAAATCCCACAAGCCGAAACCCTAAACCCCAAAAGCCTAATGTCGCGACGGAAGGACGAGCAGCCCGCTGAGATGAAGACGAAGACGAAGCCGGCCTCCATCAGGTGCAGCGAAGTAAGTGGCCGAAATCACATACGAGTATGTTCGGGCTCCTTATTGTTATGAATATAGTATAATCTAGAGGGCCCCAAATACATAGCAATGATATTTCCGGGTTCCTTATTATGAATCTAGCATAATCTACCCCAAGGGGGGCCGATAACCCCAAGCCAAACGCAAAGCTCCAAGGGAGGTGGTCGATGGCGCAGAGGATTGGAAGTATTCGTTAGGGCTCGCCCGTTTTGGTGCAAAGGAAGCTTCACTGGATTATGGTAAGTACATAGGGGGCAGACCTACTGCGCTACAGGTCCCATGGCTCCGATCAGAAGATGCTAAGCTGCATCCGGAGCGAAGGGCCGGGGTTGTTTTGGGGTTGAACAACGGATTCTGCATCGCGTCTTCAGCAAGATGTGATGTTCCGCCACAAACGACTCTGAGAACCTCCAAGCAAGGAGCCTCCATGATCAGACCGTTGCCACGTGCAGACTTGCTTGCCTCGTGCACGGATGGCTGGGGCGGCTAGAGTTGGCTGGAGTCATTTGTCGCATCTGACTTTGTAACGAACCACACCCACGATCGCAAGGACTGCAGCGCTTAGGGGGTCTCAGCTCGATTCGCCAAGGAAGGATTCTTGCAGTGACAAGAGATTCAGCTCCTTCGGTACCGACGGAGGGGAGGTTGGGAGCTGTTCCAGCACATTGCTTCGGATGCTCCTGGTTCAAGGTCTGCGTGTTATCAGAAAATTGCGGGCACTACCTGTGCGGATTTATGAGACAGCTTCAGGGTTAGATATGCTCAGGGCTGGAAACTTGCCGTGTTGACAGGATGGTTTGCGGTTGTTGGCCTACACGTGATCAATTCATCCACAGCTCAAAGCCCTAATCTTCAGACCCGGAAGTGTCAATAAACAAGGACAGAAACCCCAAAGCTAAAACCAGAAGCACAAACTAGCGACGCTCAATGCCTCAAAACCTCAACCCTGAAACCCATCTTCCCCAAATGCGAAGCCATTTGAATGTCGGTAATCCGCAAGCCATTAACGTCCCTGAAACTCGCCGGAAAGGGACCTAAACCAAAAGCTTGGCAGGTGAACCCAAAGGCGTCCTCGCAGTCCGGCGAGTCCCGGCAAAGAGCAAATTCCGGCAATCTGCCCACGAGGTGCCCTGGGAAAACAGGGTTTGGCAGAATCGCTTCAGGAGATAGTCACGATCATACCCAACATCGGGCCGGCATAGTAGCATAACTAGAAAGTTTTGTATTGCGCTGTTCGCGGGCGCCAGAGAGAGAGAGAGAGAGAGAGAGAGAGAGAGAGAGAGAGAGACAGAGAGACAGAGAGACAGAGAGACAGAGAGACAGAGAGACAGACAGAGAGAGAGGTTTGCTCTTGCTAG